TTGTCATCACCCGGTGACCAAGTATGTAGGCAGCAACTTATAACATTGTTTTACATCATTTGCAAGTAAAAGCAGCCTTGTTTTTTCATTGGTTCGAGAGATATGGGCTTGGAACACGTTACTACCGAAAAATCTGCCGTTTTCAAATCTTGTGTTACACCTGTTTTGACGCAGAATTGCCTTACCATGCTATGGGGTGACAATCTGTCCAATGCTGTTAGGTTTTAGGTAGGTACAACCAACGTGAAATCATGTCGAACATGGTCATTTCGTGTAAAACGCGTAAACCGGGAAAGAACATGCATCCGTTGCTTACACACGCTGAATTTGACATTAGCTCTTAGTTGAGACGAAGAAACGTCCGTTTCGGAATTTTGACTTATTCCGGAACAAAGTGGCCGGGGTGAGATTTGTGCTCACTTTCATGTTCACAACAACGGCAATGAATGTTTGGTCCATTATAGTGTATCGTTTGCACATGCAGTCTGCTTTCGAACGGAGTTGGTTATAGAAACAAAAGCAGAGAAATTTGCAGGGAAGGCAAGCGTTTTCTTATCCGCACCATATGACGTACGTGCTACACATTTTAAAATGATCAAAGCTTTAAGACATCTGTCTCGTAGGGTTTTAAAATGCCCCTTATATGTGAGATGACTGTCGAGATATACCCGAAGGTATCTGGTCACCGACTCAGTGGGAATGGGTTGGTCATAAAGACGGAGAGCGAGGCCACCGCATTGGCGGCGGTGACAGAAGTGCGTGGCGGCCGTTTTCGCGGTGGAAAACCGAAACCCATTAATGGTGCTTCACCTTTCCAGATGGTCAACAGCCAACTGGAGCTGGCGCTCCGTTACACGCGTTCTTGATGCGCTGGTCCATATGGTGAAATCATCTACGAAGAGAGCGCGGCCGACTGACTGCGGTATGACGTCAACGAAGTCGTTTATCATAATAGAAAAAGCGCCACACTTAAAACGCTCCCCTGAAGCACACCATTCACCTGTTGAAAAGGTGCTGATATCTCATTACCCACACGCACACGGAAGAAGCGTTCAACCAAAGAATTATCCAAAAAGGTGCCCATATGACCACGTATGCCATGCTTGAAGAGTTTTAAGAGGACACCTCGTCGCCACGTGGTATCGTAAGCGGCTTGAAGATCGAAAAAGACAGCACCTACATGACGGTTCCCTTTGAAACCTTGCCGAATCATAGCATCGAGCGTTAAAAGGTGGTCCACCGCACTACGATTCTTCCTAAAACCGCACTGTGCATTAGTAAAAATGTCATGCTGTTCTAAGAACCATGCGAGTCGGACATTGACCATTTTCTCCACCAACTTACATAGTGACGTTGTACGTGCGATAGGTCAATAACGTAAGGAATCTAGACCACTCTTCCCTGGTTTCAGAAGAGGGACCACAGAAGCCTGTCGCCATGAGATCGGAAAGTCGCCGCTAGTTCAAAGTGAATTAAAGATTGTCAGCAAAACTTCCAACATGCTACCAGGAACATGCTGAAGCATGCTTTAATTCGGCCATGGTAAAGGGATCATTATAGAGCATGTGTTCGGAAGAAGAAAATGCCATGTTTGGTTCCTCGTGTCGCATTCTATCGCAAACAAACTGCCGTTCCGTACTAACGTCACGACTGCGCTCCGAGATTGCTCGGCCAATCTCGTTTGCAACATCCACTGGATGCATGATGTCGGGGCCTTTTACGTATAGTGCGGGGACTGGAGTAGAGGAGAACTGACCGGAAATTCTCTTGATCCGTGACCAGACCTGGGCTGTAGCTGAAAGACGGGTGGGTGTGCAGACGCAATCACGCCGAGAATTGCGCTTCACCTCCCCGATTGCTCGGCGCGTGAATGCCCTTGCTTTCTTAAACGCAATCAGATTGACCGTGCTGCTCCTTCGATCGACAACTCGACAAGCGCGTTTGCGCGCACGGATGGCGTCACGTTTTTCATCCGTCCACCACGGGACGGGCGCGCGGCGTGGATTACATGAAGTGCAAGGGATGCGCCCGTCAGCACATTTCAAAAGCAGGGCATTGAAATCCTCTGCAGAGGTAGGCACACTCTCAGGATGTGTGGAAAGCGATGCTTCCAGTCGACCTTCAAAGTTCTCCCAATCGGCCTTTTTGAAATTCCAACGCTGGGTCCTAGTGCCTGGAACACTAGCACTACGGAATCTCAACCACACTGGAAAATAGTCACTTCCTAGTGGATCGTCGGCGACTGTCCACTCCAAGTGCGGCATAAGCTGTCGGTTAGAAAGGCTGAGATCAACGGTTGATGTCCGTCCGGGAGGAAGAGTAAAATGTGTCGGCTGTCCGGTGTTTAAAATGCAGGGAGAAGCATCGTGAATAAAGGTTTCGCACAACCTCCCGCTTGTGTTTGATTCATCACAGCCTCATGCGGTGTGATGGGCGTTAAGGTCTCCTAACACTAAGACCGTCGAGGGAAGCTCAGTCATCCGGTGCCTGAGCCCAATGATGGAAAACTTGCGCCAGGTGGCAGGTATAGTGAGCAGACTGTGATGATGCCACTGTTGAAATGAACACGTCGTGCTACAACCTAAAGCGATGATTTCAAGTCCAGCTTTCGCGTTGGCACACTGTGATGGACGGCCAGGAGGACACCACCGTGCGCAAGTGTCAGCGGACACGTCACTGCGGAAAATTGCGTAGCCTTTTAACGCGAAGTAGGAGTTCGGCGCCAACTTGTTTCTGCAAAGCTACAGCTGCGGTACACTTCCCGCCAATCTCAGACTAGCGGTTGAGCGCATAAGCCCTTTCTCCCCTGCAGTTCCATTGCAAAAACGTCTTTAAAAGGACGTGTTAAAAGAGGCTAAGGGGTACCACACTACAAAACGAGATTCAAAAGAATTGCGCCGCTCCAAATGAAGCGTCAGATTCCTCAGACCTGGGGTCCTGAACCACAGATCCGTGCCCCAGCCTGGGCGGGACCTTGGGATACACCCGTCACTTGGAGACATGGACCAGACGGGACACGCTTGGTGTCAGCATAACCCGTGCGTGGTGGCAGCGGAGAAGGGGCCATCACTGAGCCCCTGCCCACCACCTGGTGCCGAGGTGGAGCCTCAACCGGTCCACGTGGTGAGGGAGTACTGCTCCGGTGGGCGGGCTCCTTGCCCGTTCCTGACAGCCTATTGGCTGCTTTGGCCCGCTCCTGCTCAGCCAGGCGTGCCCGCTTAGCCTCACGGGCGCGCCTGTTTGCCTCGTGGCGCTCTAGGGTCTCAAGCGCTTGTCCAGAAGTGCTCGCGACGGGAGTCACGGGAGACGACGGCGGCCTCGCGCCGGGGGGTGAGGCCGGCGAAGACCGCAGGCCCCGGCCGCGCTGAACGACCGCTCATCCCTCCCTCTCCGCCGGCGCGCCCCATGATGCCGCGGGGGTCAGCACCACGGCAGGTACCGGGCACCCCGGCACCGAGGAGGTGGTCGCGGGACCCATCCGGCTCCCGGGCGTCCGCCCCGCTGACACGATCGCCACCGCGGCCACAGCGGAGCTGGCCGCAGATAGAGGCGGCGGTTCTGCCCGTTGTGTCGCGGCATCCAAAGAAGTCGAATGCGGGACAGAAACCGATGGCACCATAGACAAACCGAACGTTTTAAGGAGCTGAATAAGCTGTTGGGAAGTCATCTGGTCTACCCGATTGCGCTGTGGGGCTTGCAGTTTGGTCTTTGAGGCATAACTGACCTTCGGATGGCTCTCTTCGTATAGCTCCCTTGCCTCACGAAACGATATTTGCTTACTGAATTTGAGTGTGATTATCTCTTTCTCTTTACCATAAGCCGGACAGAACCTATCGAACGTGGAGTGAGGGAACTGCTCTTTACCACAGTTTGCACACCATGGTTGGTCTGCGGTGCGGTCTTCTATTGCGTGGTCTGGTGATGAACACTTACCACAAACAGCCTGTCTGCGACGGGTGGTCCTCGTATGCCCAAACCGCTGACAACTGAATCATCTCACAGGGTTCGGAATAAAACGACGCACTTTCACCCTCACATAGCCCACTGTCTTGCCGTAGGTCGGTTTTATCAAAGGAAATGGCGATGTTGTTGGTGGGAATCAGATCAGCACCACGCCGCACCTTGATCCGGCGGGCGTGCGTAACCACAAACTCGGCCAATCCTTCTGTAATCTCCTCTTCATTGACACCCTTTACGTCAGAACAATAATGATGCCCTTGGCGGAATTTTTTGTCTCATGCATCTCTGCAGTCAGGGCGAGAGACACGTCTCGCTTACCCTCTGCATCTCGCACGCTGTACACGAAGCGTGTAACATCCCTCGCTCGCTTAGCATGCTATCCGTTGCTAAATTCCACTTCTACGCCGCCATCTCGTAGTTTATCACATCCCACCACAGTGCCATAACGGTCACATCCATTCCGACGCTGAAATGAAGAAAGGGATGAAAGGGCTCTTTCATTACTGCGGAAACCAGGATCCGAGAAGCAAGGGCAGAACCACTGCAGCCGAACGCCACGACGGTCAGTCACCCTTTCGGGAGCCGGGTGCTTTTTGTAATTGGAGATGCCATGCAATGTACGTTCAGCTTTCGGCACCGGGGCTCCCCACCCACAACAGAGCCCAGCTGGGGGACGGTCCAACACTCCCTCGGGAGGTGGTCGCCGTTAGGGCTACCCCGGTGCTATACGGGGCGACCGACGCCTCTCACACGGCCAGATGTCACAGGGGAGACCTCTCCCGTCCTGGCGGTGGCTCAGCAGCGCCGCCCCTTGACCCCTTAAGCTGCTGCACACGGCCAGGCGCCCCAAGCGGAGACTCGCACGACACGCCCCTCAGCCACATGGAACTGATCAACACGGGAACGCGGGCAAGGGGGCACGGCGACCGAGATGAAACGAGGATTAGGAGTGGTGAGTGGGCCGGATGCGGGAAATGGGAAGGGAACGGGCGGGACAAGGAGCAGAAGCTCACGCACCAACATGGTCGCTACACCACGAGGGGAAAAGCTTGCGCTGTCCGCCCGTTCCCAGAACTAGGACCCGAGGAGGCACTAGTCCCCTACACCAGCCGAAACCAGTGCCCCTGCGGGAAGAAAGTAGTCAGCAACTTGTAACATCGTTTTACATCGTTTGCAAATCAAAAGCAGCATTTTATTTTCATTGGTTCGAGAGATATAAACCTGGAACGTTACACTACCCAAAACTCGGCCGTTAACTTCTGCCAATTTGTTGCGCTACACCTGTCTTGACGCAGGATGTCCTTACCACACTATGGTGTGACCTAGACTCTCCAATGCTGACAGGTTTTAAGCTAGGTACAACCAAGGTGGAATCACGTCGAAAAACGGCCATCTCATGTAAAACGCCTAAACCGGGACAGAACGTGCATCCGCTTCGTGCACACGCTGAATTTACTTATGCCCATCATGTGAGAGGAAAAAAGATCATTTTTAAAACTTCGATTTTTTTCACAAGGTGGCCGTGGTGAAATTTTTGTTCATTTCCATGCTGACAACAACGGCAATGAATGTTTGTTCGGTCATCGTGTGTATCGTTTGCAAGTGCAATCTGCTTTCGAACGAAGCTGGTTTCCAAAAGCCAAATTAGCAATTTTTGAAAATATTGCACACGCACCGCACAAAATTGTAAACAATGCGCAACGCTTCACTACCAAAGGCGCATTTTACACGCTCGCACGTAACATCCGACCACCTGACACTGCTGCGCCCCTGACTGAACGTCGTGGACGGGTAAAATCGACCATCATACGCCTAATGATCATACGCCTAATGTACAGGAGCATGAGCCATTTGCATATCACAGTCCATAGTGAGGACGATCGTGCCGCCCCACCTAAGCTATGCGCGCACATCCAAGAGGAGCGTTAGCAGGACACGTCTCCCCATCGAGCCTCGTCACATCGCTACACCTGCGCCATTCACGCGCACACCCCGCAGTCACACTGTCCCGGTCCAGGCGCGCCCCCCGCCTCAGGTGGACACACTTCCTCAATGTCGGCGATGACCCGCTGGGCCCGCGCGAGACACTCATCCATGTCCGGCGCGCGCGTCACGTCCTCGAGGGCCAGCAGCCGCCGCAGGACGCAGCGGACGCGCGCCAGGTCCCAGCGAAGGTGGTCGCGGCTGTGCTGCCAGCCGTCCAGGCCGCGTACGGCCGCCGCGCCGCGCGCGCCGTCCAGCCGCCGGTCGGCCGCGAAGCACAGCAACTCGACAAACTCGCGCACGTCCATACCGTGCGTCGCCTTCAGCAGCTGCTGGCACTGCGCAAGCCAGGCGCCGGAGCCGTCGGCGATGTCGGCGAGCTCGGCCTTCACCGCCGTCAGCGAGGCCAGCAGATGGCGGCTAGCGTGGCCCACGTTGGCGGCGTTGAGCCAGTTGTGGTTGATGGAGATGGTGTCGCGCAGGTTCCACACCTGGTGGTGCCAGTCGGACGGCACGAACATCACCTCACCCGCTTCCTGGATAACGTCGAAGTAACGCACGCCGCCCGGCGACGTCTTCGGCTGCAGGCGTGCCACGCTGACGCCGGCCGGCAGGGTCGCCGAGCTGACGGCGGCCGAGGGGCTCTCCGCGCCGAGCACACCAGCAACATCGAACGGAAGCTGCGACAAGCTGCGAAGCTTCTCTTCCTCGCCAGGTGGCAGCAGGATCCAGCGTTTCCTACCGCACACGTTGGCTGACCAACTGAACGAGCGGAAGACGTCTGCGTGGAATGGAGTCCTGAGAATAAGAAAAAGTTTTTGAGCCCTACCTGAAAGTGTTCTGACTAACCTGCACCAGACCTTCTAAGACAGCCGCAGTGGATTTGTCACTTTGCTACCAGCAACCCCCCCATAGGTGGCACACTGCAAGGCTGTCAGTTTCCACCACATACACAAATCCATTTGCTTCATTGTAACCAGCCAGTACCAACATGGCACCACATAAGACATGTTCATTCCTATACGCTGGCACCGGACGGCCATGTGGTATATGCGTCTTACAAGCTGTCTCTTCCCTATGTTTGCACACATGACTTACCATGTGCCAGCCACCCCAACATAAACAAAGCGAAAGTCATCACGAAGCTCCGGCTGCTCCTCCCAGAATTCGTTGAGCCAGTCTGAGGCAAACAGACAGGGGGTGCGGTACACAGGAGGGTCAGCCGGCTGCTGGAGACGCTGCGCCGCGTGGAAGTGCCAGTCCTGCCAAAATGAGCAGGATTCATGGTGATGGTGACTACATTAGTCACTGGAGCTTGGTGAGACAACAACCCACAGTCTTTGGATGGCCACATGATTTGAATGGTCTTCATGAGACACTTCATGACAAAGTTTGTGAAAATGATGTTTTCTTTCTCTGGGCAGCCATAAAATGCTTCAGGCCTTTGCAAAGGCAACATGAATGATAGGCCACTGCCAGCTTTTGCATTAGGCTGGAAGTGCAGAGAACCAACAACAACAGACTTTGAATGCCTTCTAGACTGGTTGACAGACCCTTTCCAGGAGCCAAATGGATAGCAAAGTCTTGGAAATTACTTGTAATTACTAGTTGGTGACCACCTTCCTAGTGTGTCTAGTGCAAATGACCACAGGAAGTTCAATGAGATACACTTTGGATATTTCTAAAACAGTCACATTTCAGTATGCAAAATGCGGATGGTGATGGCAATGTGTCATAAAATAGTAACTCAATGAAGAAGCAAAATTCCATAAAAAAGGCATCAATGGTTTGAGCAAGTCAAAAATAAAACAGCATCCACAATACAGAAAGACAGCATAAGTACAGGTGCAAACTACACCATTGCACAACAATTTCATTTTGATGGTGGAGTCTCAGGAATGAAGTAAGCAGGAACTGTACATTTAACCTACATGTGTGTGTACATTTTGCAATTACACACCAGATAAGATATCATATCTGGTCATGCTGTCTCATCACTTATTGTGGTGTTCTCTTCTTTTCCAAGACTTGTTATATAGAAACTCTATCCTAAAAGCATAAGAGAATGTGTAAACAAAAAACTCCACATGAAATCAAACCAGCAATGGTGTAGGCCACCATGCAAATGATACTCTGGAATGTGCCATAAGCACATGCCTTCAGATACAGGGTGTCTTGCCGATCCTTTTGTTTCATGTATTGTAGATATTCTTTGAGCTTTAGCTCAGCTTTTGGCTGAGAGTCAAAGTACTTCTCTGAACAGTTTGCCACTGGAACATTCAAGTTCCCTATAAAAGAGAAGTGCAACATTACCACAAACATCATGATGCTACACTTAACAAAGTGCTGCATTTGCAAAATGAACCAGTCTTTTTCACTTTCCAAATGAACATTCAAGGCCACTCTTCCCAAAGAGTAATAAGCTACTCAAAGCATTTAACATATCTAAACTCACCATATTCCAAGCCCAAGTCCTGCAGGTCTGGATCCCCACTGGAATCTACCCAACTCTTCGATGCTTTCCAGTCATCAATCATACCACAGCTTAGGATGCAAGGGGAATTTCCCATGATAAACCTAGTGTAAAACTCTTCATATTTAGGTTCCTCAAACGCAAAACTAAAGACTGGATGTGATACACCCGTCCTGTTTCGTGCACCCCACCGCACCTCGGAATATCTCAGGTTCATCTCTCGTCCTTGCTGAACTTTGACTTAGCAGACGATAACCAGACAGTTGATTGCCTTGGCTGCGACGTTTCTGTCGTCGGAATTGAGGCAAGGCCCAGGCAATCCAAGGCCGTTGTAGTTGGACGGTCAGAGAGAAACGGTGAATCATTATTAGTTCGTAGCGTGGGAGGTGAATCCGCGTTTTCTCCTGGTAAGAGACTAGATAGGGGCAGGCTGCATTGATTTCCTGATACAGACGGGGATGCTCCTTCCTTGTCTGTGTTTGGTTGCGAACACAATGAAAATTATTGCGTATGGGTCTTCAGTGAAAAGTGGGGTGGGGTGACATCATCGCCCTGCGATTGATTCCCACTGGTACACCCAGGAACCACTCTAGATTACTTCGTTGGATATCTTCTTGCTATTCCATCGAACATAGGCCATTTCAGGTATCACAGAGGTCATACCATGCATTTATGGTACAGTATGTAATGTGCACTCCTGTTTGCGAAGTATAACATATTTTGACAGGATTTCATTAGGCCAGGCTTGGGAAATAATTGTATTCAGGACAGTAATTTTTTGCTTTGACAGCTCACACTATTTTGGGTCTTCCTGTGGTATGCTTGGGCTGGTAATAAGTTAGGTGAAGATTCTGGTGGAAGCAGCAAACACTGGTGTGTAGAAAACAAAGGAATAGCAACAAATAGAGGCAGAGTTGGCCCTAAGGTCAAACATGCCACATACCTATTGACTGTGTATTAGCTGTCTTCATCACTTCCATCTCATCCTGTCCAGCCTCTGATGCAGCTACTTGTGCAACCCACCATGTAGTCAGGAATGCGTCAATGAAAATAATGTTTTGATCTGGAGGCATTCAGAAGTTGCATGGAATGTCCTGAAAATATATTGCATCGAGTATTGCCTAAATGGCCTACATCCTGGTGTGTTGGATAGGGTATAAGATATGAGCTTGTGATATATTGCTAAGATAAGCATGGCACCAGGCTATTGTAAAGTAAGGATATATTGCAGAATTTAAAGGTTTTCTGCTGGCTTCAATTTGCACTTATCAAATTTGTGGCCTTTTTAGCTTTAAATACATGTCATAAGCTTGCATCTCAATATCTTTTGCTTCCATTTACAACACGTGCAAATGCCATTCATGTGAGATTATATCTTTGAATGTTGCTTTCACCCCAAAGTAAGTAACACCTGTTTTTAGACACTGGTTTCAGTTTAAGTGAATTGTATACCTATTTTATGACAAAGGTTAGTAATCATATCATGATGCAATTGTAACTTCTCTCAAGGAATTTTCCCTCACACAGCTTACATGCCTGCCTTACCAGTAAGCCGCATATTTGTTGGCACATGTCCAGTGTAGTATGTATGGTAGAAGTTAAAATCCAAGTAGCTCATGATAGAGAGAAAGTGGTGGATAATTTATAAAGCAATCTGGTGTGCTTGCCAGCCATGGAGCTTCAGCAGGTCTAAAGCTAAGTTGTCCTAGGCTCCACATGGGATTTAAAGTGATGATAAACTTTATTTATGTGATGTTACCATCATGCCCATCTTGACTGTCAGGTGTACTGATTATTTGATTGGCCTCCAGATTTTTGAAAAGGTATTGGCCTACACTTTGGACCTATTGTGTGAGTATGTCCCTGGTCATGTTAGCTCTATGTTTTTGTTGCAAAAATGTAATACTTAGATTACTTTTAGTTGTACATTTTGGCCTGCAACTGGTTTTAGGTGGTAGTATGATTTTGTGTGTATCTTTTTGAACATAACTAACTCAGATTTGGCAGGGAAGCTTTTATAATGGTTGCAAGTTCATTTAGCTTAGTCTGGACAGATCAACCCCCCCCCCCCCACCCCCATAGCCTATCAACTTGACAATTGAACTGCCATGGATTTTGTGAATTGAGCAGTTTGGTCATGCCCAGCCACCATACTGGTTTCCAGTTTTGAGGATGCTAGCATACCCATGTCCAAGCTACTCATGTGCATGGTAAGCAGTACTGAAATAATCAAGAAACTTTGTCATGGCCATTTATGAATGAATGGACTGTTTACAAAGTAGCTGTATGTCTAGTCTGGAGTTCCACACATTGGTATGTTCAGAATTTTCCCTTTCACCCTTGTGTATGATTGTGATATAACCTTGAGAGAGAGAGATGCTTTTATCAGGTAGAACCTCAAGCCATTGGCTGCCATCAGTGGCATGCTGAGTGGTTGCATGCAAAGAAAGGCATGCAGTCTTACTGTTAGGGCATGTGCACCAATGGGATGCTTTAGCTTGTGTATGTGGCCTTGTTGGGGCTAAATGGTGGTCAGGCTATGCGGTACTGAATGATTACTCCATGTCTTTTGATCACTTGTGTCTGTTGTGCATCTCTTCTAGAGATGGCCTCCCTGACAATTTACCCATGCATTCCCATAGGAGCATCAGGACCTCTGCACATTCTTGCACTTTCCTAGACAGGCCAAGGCTGGTATGAAGACCATCAGGCTGTTTTTGCCAGATGTATCTGTCATTGCAGCCTGACAGTGTGAATTAATAGCTTCAGTAGCCAATGCCTGAAATGCATTAAACTTGTTCCCAACAAAGTATACTGAAGAGCAAGACACAGCATGCTATTAATTCCATGCAAAGGCTTTGCTTTTATAAGACAGTCTAGTTCTGCTGCGACCTTATATGTATCCTCATTTTTGTGTGCGGGGAATTGACACCTGTGCTTTTTGTTCTGTATCCAAGGTATGTTAGACATAGGTTTTGCTAGATGTAACATCCTGTGGGATTGTGATTTTTCTCAGTTTTCACACAATATTTTTTGTCATGCTTTGGACATTCATCAAAAGCAGGTGACATGTAGTAAATAACCAGGAGTGCTCAAATTGGGACTCAAGGGGGGGGGACTTGTCACAATGTAAGCTATGCCTAACGTCAAAATATTAGCTTAGTTCATAGTCAAGATTCCGACATGCAAGGCAGCTGCAATTGACAAACTGCCATGAGTCATCCACATGCATGAAAAAGTTGCACATTTGAACCTACTCCCAAGATTCTTTGGGCTCGCCATCTATTAAAAATGTCCGACTTGAACAGAAGGCAAATTGGACAGAAAAACATATTTTATCCGCTGCAGTGACATCTTTCAAAAAAGCATGGTACATTCAGCAAAAGTATGATGTAGGCATAGTTGGAACATCATATTTCTTTGAGGGTGCCCTGACCATGTTTGTTGAACCCCCCTCCCCAATATTCACCTACACCAATATCGAAAGCATTGGACAGGGGGTCATGGGAAATGCTGCCCCTATCCCGTCCACTTCCGTGCTTCGGCGGCCCTTTTGCTTTCCAGGAAGCTCCGCGCCTCGGTGTGTGCGCGGTTCATAACCAGGGAATGTGTGCCTGCTTCCAAGGCGCGCGGAAATAAGCCCGCGTGAGCGGACCGTCCAGGTCACCTCCTCACAAACCGGCTGCAGAATCTGATGCTGATTTGGCTGATCAGATACGTTAACACGTGCTAGGTTCTGCAAACTGTAGACCCGTTTGTGTTTTTGGGCATTGTTCATACTGTGTCGGATTTAAACAACCAGGAGAGACGAATGTGTGAAGCCACTGGCCAGATCCGTGAAGGCCAGATTGACATCCAGCATATAATTCTATTGAAGTTCGCTGCATTATAGGTTAAATCGCAAGCGCAGTGACAGGCACATACAGGTGACATGCGCACGAGGGCATCTGCCCAAGCTGGCGCCTCACGTCAAGATGTCATATTTTGTGGATGTTCTGAGGAGCCTCTTATCTAACACACTGTAAGCTCCTTCCAGTCATCAGTTATGCTTTGGTAGGCGTTGGCCAAGTTATTCTCCCACTGCCATTGCCACCAGAGTCCGGAAGAGTTATGTGGGATTAAGAGATCAACAATATCTACTTTCTTCTCTCTCGGAGAGATTTACTGCCATTCCTGGTCCAAGAACCCAGTGCCTAGACATTTATTTTGGTTTCAGTCGAAACTGAGAAAGCTTCGGGTCCCGCGAGATTTCGTATCAAGGTTTCTGCTTTTGCCTACGCAGCACTGAGTACAGCCCGCAGCCAGCCACCACGTAACACACGAAAGCTAACAAGTTGCACGTGTTTTTGTTCCACGATGACGCTGTTTGGCTCACGCACACAGTTGTGTACTTGCCCATTGGTTTGATTGTTTTTATTTCCAACGTTGTCGTCATTTTGTACCAAGCATGGGCGTCTTATTTCCTCGCAATTGCTTTCTGTTCATTCCCCGTGCCCTTTGTACCCCCTAAGAATCCGTTTCTGATGCGGAGGTTTAGAAGTACAAGTTCTGAAAAGATTTGCCCATATTTCGCCCATAAATGCTGCCGCCCCGGTGTTCCGGGCGAGGGGGGAGGGGGTCATTTGTCAACGACACTGGACAGGACTCCCAGGGCGGGCTTACTGTTTGACCCCACCGACAAGAAAAGGTCAGCTGGCAGCCGGCTAGCGAGGGCGAACCCAGGCCCGGGACGGTCGAGCTGCAGCCTTGTGTGACACGCAAAGCCCCCCGCTGTCATGTCTGGCGAAAGGGTGAAGGCAGAGTTCTCCGCTGAACTGCTCGCTACAACTTGGCTAGTGGGTTCGGGGTCACGCAGCAAACTGGCGTTAGTGTACCTTTGACGTGAGCTCACCGATGTAGGCCACGCGGAATACATTTCTTAAAAAAAACAGCTTATAGGTAGTGCATTTCGCTTTCAATTCCATTAGCATCAATCGTTGTCAAGCCTGCAGTATCGATATCTGCCGTATTATTTGACTTCTGATCCGGACAACCAGGCCCATATTTCTCGTTTTTTCATGTATGTAACCGATCTCACCGCGGTGACCCATGTTAGCTGTTGTGTTCCATGTTCTGCCAACAGATATGATATTTGTGGATATGATATGTGCTTTTTAAAATTGTACGTACAAGTGGTAAAATGCGTGCATGCTTGCTCCTCATTTTCCATCATGCAAGTTATGTTCCTCTTGCTGTATGTGTGTCTGTGTATGCTCTTATTTAGAACTCACCATGTCTCATTCTGGCTTTTATGTGATGGTATCAATGAATTAAAATTAAACGTGCTCATGATACACATACAGTACTTGCCCATCATGCACGCACACACACGCCCGGACACATTCATCACCACATGCGTATCAAGCCCATCGGCCTCCTCACCATGCGTTAGAAACCGTAACACGGCTCTCTCTGGTGTCTGGAGATGGGGCGTTATGGATTTCCCACGTGTTGCATTTGGCCTATAGCTAGCCCTGGCACCTTCGAGTGCAATGGTACAGTGTTGCGGTCCGTCCGGGTGGTGTGCACATTGGCGTCAGCTGCTGAGACAAGACAGTTATCGCTTGCGGAGGCCATTGACGTCACCGCTCAGAATGCTTGTGCAGTCTGGGTGCCTCCCCTGACATATGGGCTATTTTCTCCAAAAGGTGATGCTTTCCTGAGGCCATCTCCATCATCCATCCCCCACATACCATGAGCTCACAGTCGCCTCTTTTCCAGTCGGAGCCGTAACGCACAGTCGCGATGAGTTTCTTCAGCAAGATTTTCGGTGGCAAGAAGGAGAATGAGGCGCCTTCTACGGGAGATGCCATACAGCAGCTGCGCGAGACCGAGGAGATGCTCCTTAAAAAGCAGGAGTTCCTCGAGAAGAAAATTGAGGTGGAACTGGCCACGGCGAAAAAGAATGGCACCAGAAACAAGCGGGGTAAGGTATATTGAGAGCGTTTTTTAGCGGAAGGGAGAATGTTGTGCGCTGGTTCTGGATGCTGGGACGGAAATGTTGAGCTAATGGGTGGTTTTACAAGATTGTTTATTCCATTTTGCACGTTTCGCCCAGGGCGTATACATCTTTTACGAAAAATTAAAAAAGTCAGTAACCAGACGGCTGCTCACTGTTTTCCTTATCGGAACCGCCCCAAATCATGTTTTCCATGTAATGCCCAGAATCTCGCCGAAGTGAAGTATGAAGCTAATTTATGTGCTGTAACGTATGTGCAAGGCGTACTTACTTTTGTTCCTGGTAGGACGCGCGTCATCTAGGCCCATATGTACCAGCCAGTACATATATTTTTGAGCGATTAGTTTCGTTTATAATTGAACCCATTGAATTTGGGATGGGGGATGGGTAGATCTCCCACCTTCCTCATTATACCTGATCCGAAATGGGGAGTGTTAAAACTTCAGCGTGTTCGTAAGATTGTCATGAGATCGTTTCGTCTTGGGATGCGCATGTTTGTATTCGGTCACCAATGGTGAAAGATTGCGTGAAATTCTACCCACAAGTGATTCACGCGTTTCGGGTCAGGTGCACAGCGCCATTAACCGGCTGCGGACAAACCAATCACTAATCGTTCGTTGTGCGTCCGCCAGCGGCGCTTTCGGCGCTGAAGCGAAAGAAGCGGTACGAGAAGCAGCTGCAGCAGATAGACGGCACGCTGAGCACCATCGAGATGCAACGCGAGGCGCTGGAGGGGGCCAACACCAACACGGCTGTCCTGCAGACAATGGGCGAGGCGGCCAAGGCGCTGAAGGCGGCGCACAAGCACATGTACGTACCCCGGCCCGGTTCAGCCTCAGCCGCCCGGTCGGCGCCAGTCGCTGGCTTAGGCCGCGGTAGGGCTAGTGAGAAGGCGTGCGCTGAGTGACCCGGGGCGGGTCCTGGCCGAGCGAGGGGTGCTGTGGGCCACGGCGCGCGGCGGGCGTGGGCGGACAGCGGGGTGCCGCCGCACCGCGCCGCCTAGCCGCAGCGGCATGTCGTCAGAGACGCCTTCCCGACCTCTAACGGCCGGTTGGAGTTGGAGGAGCGGCTGGTGGCGCGTGCGACGCCGAACGGACGCCATTGCCGGTCAGGGCAAGGCGGCGGTGTCGGGCCGGCGCCTACGCCGACACCGGGTAGTCGGCGCCGCGCCAGGGTCATGTTCCCGCTACACCGCGGAAGGGCACGGGGACGCATCCTATGAACGTGAAACCAACATGTTCGGAAGATGCCTGCAGAGCGTTGCGAAGACTGCGGGACCGCCAGTGGGCTGGGCTTAGTATGATTCGATATTTGGATAATTCAATGATCTAGTCCCGCGGGTATTGACACCCTACCCATCATACACTGTGGTGTCTGGTCCCATGGTCACCCATACCCTGTGGTGTCTGGTCCCGTGGTCACCCATACACTGTGGTGTCTGGTCCCGTGGTCACCCATACCCTGTGGGGTCTGGTCCTGTGGTCACCCATACCCTGTGGTGTCTGTTCCCGTGGTCACCCATACCCTGTGGGGTCTGGTCCTGTGGTCACCCATACCCTGTGGGGTCTGGTCCCGTGGTCACCCATACCCTGTGGGGTCTGGTCCTGTGGTCACCCATACCCTGTGGTGTCTGGACCCGTGGTCACCCACACCCTGTGGTGTCTGGTCCTGTGGTCACCCATACCCTGTGGGGTCTGGTCCTGTGGTCACCCATACCCTGTGGGGTCTGGACCCGTGGTCGCCCATACCCTGTGGTGTCTGGTCCCGTGGTCACCCATACCCTGTGGGGTCTGGTCCCGTGGTCACCCATACCCTGTGGTGTCTGGTCCTGTGGTCACCCATACCCTGTGGTGTCTGGTCCCGTGGTCACCCATACCCTGTGGTGTCTGGTCCCGTGGTCACCCATACCCTGTGGGGTCTGGTCCTGTGGTCACCCATACCCTGTGGGGTCTGGTCCCGTGGTCACCCATACACTGTGGTGTCTGGTCCCATAGTCACTTGCACCCTATTGTATCTGGTCGTGTAGTCACTCATACCCTGTGGTGTCTGGTTCCGCGACCTCGATCGTGTGTGAACAGTGCCGTAATTTCGGGCGGCAATGGATTAGGGTTCGATTCCGTGGGCTCTGTGTTCGATTGGTGGTCGACTGGTCTGGTAAGCTGTCGCTCCGGCCCTCAGCCGTGTGCTGGTTAGCCTGGGACGACCCTGCGCTTGCGAAACGTGCAGGCCTAAGGTCTCTTTAAAACGCTTTTGCTAGTAACTTTATGACTATTTTTTGAAATCTAGGTTAAATTGTGTACGGAATGCGACCATGCTCAGTGTCATGCATCAATCATGCATTACTTCCGGCACTCCGTTTTTTTATTGGTTCCTTGTGCCTCGGCTTTCGTGAGCGAATCGAGAATGTCCTCGTCCACCGTTCACTCAGGTCATATCGCTTTCTGGGCTGTGTTTTGAGTCGACAGATTCGTCGTTTCTGCCCAATCCTGCCGTCCCAGTCTGGCTTATGCCTCAGCCAAAAACGTCTGGCTATGCATTTTGGCACGGGGATGTTTTGCTGCTTTTGTTGTAGCATATGACGTTTTGTTTGGCTCGAGGCTTGCTGTAAATTGCTTTTCTGGTCTCTCGCCGGCCTTTATGTAGCTAGAAGCGGAATTGTTTTTGTGTAGACACGCCGGGCTGAGATTGAATACCAGCACCTGGATATGCCTGGTTAGTGCCCGCTCATTCGACGACAGGGCAGCAAGAAGTTGAATGTCGCCAGGTTCACAGCCTAGTTAGAACCGGACGCCACCCTGTGTGATGGGTCGGTGGCCAGCAAAAAGGCCTCCCCGGCTCATCCTACGGCGGCTGGAAAGGTTCCGTCATCAATGGTGTTGGCCACGTCGTGCAGGTCGATCAGTCGCTGGTGTGACATCTGCGCGGTCAGCACGCGCCGGCCGGCCTGTGTGCCGTTGAGTTTTAACCCTGAGACGCCCGGTCACGTACCGGGGTCGTCTGGTGTCGCGACCTCGGCGAAACCACCGCATCTCGGTCGGTGCCTTCAATGGCGTCGTTTTCCACGTCAGTGCAGTGGAAACTCGACGCCGCGAAGGCGCCACTGGGCCGTGCGTTCTTTGTCCTGGTCTGCAGAGCGCCTCAGCCGACTCCGCGGCAGGGAATGCCGTCAGCAGCATGTCGTCGGGTAGCACGCTAACTTGACTTGTTACGGTAACTTCCTCCGAATCATTCATTGAAGGAATGGACCTCTGGGACGAGGGTGGCCACTTGACGCTGATGGCATCTCTGCAAACCGAAAACCCGGGTTCGCGTGCGAGTTCTCTATGACATTACCTCACGCGGAGTTGGCAGAACTGTCTTTGACCCTTGGGCTACTGCCATGCTCCCGACTGTGGTCACATGCTGACCCGACCGGTGCGTCGTCGGACAGCGGCGTCCCGCGCAGTCCTGCCGCCTCGCCGCGACAGCTGGGGGATCCGGGAGGGGCTGGTGATGGCGTGGGTGCATACCAGTGGTGTCCCCAACAGCAGGTTGTACCCGAAAACTGTGTGCCTTGTCTGCATGCGTGGCCGGTCTCGGAGTGCCGCCGGGTTGGCTCAAACTGCACAGGCAAACCAGGAGTTGACGGACCAATGGACACCGGAAATCGATGGTATTCGTTGCTGGGCGAAAATGCCGCATGCTGTTTAAAGTTAGTTTTTATTCGTTTTTGTTCCTCTTATCGCTTGTGGGCGCTACTGCACTACCGAAAGCTTCGTTTCTCTTCTTTGTTGACGCATTGATCTAGGAATTGGAAAAAACGGGCCATTTGTACTGCGCATGCACTGGACTGACACTACGTCTCAGTGGTGCGTGGGGGGGGGGGGGGGGGG